TCTAAGCAGAAAATGATGCATTCATCCCGGTTCTACCTGTACCCAGTTAATTGCGGTGAAACTTAATCCAATAAATTGCACTGCAAATATAAATAAAAACTTGCATTTATATAGCGCCCTTCACGCGGGGTAGTGTCGCGGAGCATTTAACAATGGTGGCATCTGACAACGAGTCAAGGGGAGAGAGCGTGTGACCGTAAGCACGATCAAAAAGGATGGTCTTTAGGTGGGATTTGAAGGTGGGGAGTGAGGGGCAAGGAGGAGGAACTGAGGCAGAGAATTCCAGAGTTAATACAAAATCAAACTTAAAATTTATTAATAGACAACAACTGATTCCACATATAACAATATTGAAGGACACCCAATACAGATTTTCGTAAAAGAGTCATACATGATTTGAAGATTAATTTTGAAGTCAGTTTTCAGTAAATTCTTTTGAGAACTACAAAAAATGAGCTTCAAAGTCAAAACTGAATTCAACAATTTGCCAAATTCAGCGCACTCTGAAATGCTGCTCCACTCATAGAGCAAATCTAGATCCAGGTGGAATTTTACCCCATGTATTTCTTCCTCTATCATGAACATTGTCAGAGGAATTTTCATCTACTCTATGTATGTCTAGCGCTTTTAAATGCACAAATTCAGGTTGGGTTTGTAAGACTGAGCGCTCATGTTGTTTTATAAGCACCTCTTGTTTTTGTGTTTATCTGATGGATTGTGTATTGCAGGAGTGTTGGGTGCTTATCCCACATTGTGCAGAAGTATGGTCAATCAGTTTTAAAAGATGTCAAAATCAGAATACGAGGATTTGTGACGTACAGATGATTCCTCCAAAAAAAAACAAAAAAAATTTGGTCACTCAATCCATGACCGTTTGTGGGACGCCGCAGTGCGCAATTGGATTTGCATTTCGTCAGAAAATACACAATCGATCCACTTTACAACATATTCTGTGAAGCCCTCTGAGACGTCTCAACGGCCTGATAAGGCGCTATCTCAAATGCAAGGATTATTGTTATCATCATAGAATCAAAATTGATATTTCATTAGGTAATTTTAATGCATGGATGCATCACTATCGCAGCTTACCTACTTTTTCAATGGTTAAAATACTCGATATTTTTCAGGTTATCATTTTCGACTACAACAGTATTCCCACCGGATGGCTGCTATTTGTTTTTTCGGCAGTCGAATGGGTGTTTCTGTCCAGGACAGGGGGTGGGGAGGGGGGGTTTCTGACAGAAATGAATCTGCAAACATTATGTGCAGAAAATTGGGGTTAATGCAGTCTCAGCCTCGTTCCTCGGGAGCGTAAGGGATAATTGAGGCTTTTACATCTAAATGCCCGGAATGATAACATCACTTGATGTATGGGCGGCTCTGAAGGTTTCTCGTCAAAACCCTGTGGAGTGTATTTTATGCGCATTCACGCACGTGTTGGACAGGGTATCAGAGGAGGGACAGTCGGATCAATCACACCCAGGACTTAAGAGGCTCAGCCTTTGTCATTATGTGTGTGCAATCATTAAAGGGACTGGAGAAAGCCGTGGGTTGAACCTTGTTTCATAACGTTTGCCACACACTGTCAATTTCGTAAAAGCTTCGGGTGCTTTTTTTTTTCTCGCGCAACCCCACACTTACACCCCCACACCCACACCCCCACACTCACACTCACACACTCACACACACACACTCGCGGGCAATGGCTGATTTTTGACACTCGAGTCACATCAAAGGAGTGATTATGCAAATACCTTTTGGGGGAATTATTTAGCACATAATAAACCTCCTGCCAAGTTGGAGAACAATAGATCAGACTATCTCGCAGTGCTCGCCCAGGGCTGAAATCCTTACGTTTTATTTCCGTAACCTAATTTTACTAATTCTATTTTCACACATATTATTTCATTGCTCGACTTTTTTTTTGGAACCCCCCCCCCCCTCTACTTGCCTGCGATACAGATCGTTATTTAGAAAATAGGTCCAGGGGACCTTTGATCCAACTATTTAATGAGGGTTCTGTAACTCTCGCTCCTTCTGCAAAATGTACTTTGAGATGTTCTGACAAAGGGGACTTCAAACCCAACAGCAAACTGAGAAGAGGTGATCTCAGTGGAGAAAGTGTGTATTGGGTCCCATTGATCCATTATGTAGATGCGATTGTTCCAAAGATTGCGGGTTCATAAACGTCTTTCAAAAGAGAGACGAGGTATATGTTATTTACCATTAGTTATGCGAGAGCACAATAAACAGTGTCTATTGCCTGTAGCAATGGAGACCTGAGCAAACTTTTTTTTCACCAATACGGATGAAGAATGCAAAAGCAAGTGAAATCTCTTATTAAATGATTGCAAAGTTGGATGAATTTCTCCGAACGCCTTACCTAAAGGTCTGTGCAATGTAAATAGAAATGTATCTCCCAGTATTCGAGTATTAATTGGCTTCTTTATATCAAAATAAGGGTTACATGTAATGCAGTCGACCAAACTCAGCCTGAAATCAATAGGTCTATTGGGAATATTAAACACGTAGAGCCGTGGTCTTTCTTTCAGGAAATCGTTAGCATTATTTTCTTGAAACGCCAATCCAGGTAACAGCTCCGCCTCACGTTAAAGTATCTCGGTCAAGCAGAGCGAGTTGGTCTTTAGTGTCCAAGCTTCACAACGTTGCCCTGGGACCGAAATACATACCGTCTATTAAGCAAAATATTGCGCGTTGTATATTTCGATCAAACCATTCTTTTATTTGAGAAAACACGATGATTAAGATTTACTATCAAGAGTAGTGCACACGTCGTCGGCTCATCCGAGCCATTTGGACCATTGAGAGGCGCGTTTGTGTATGACAATAAACTGCAGACTTCAGTGGGTACTGATATGATGCCCATCTGTTAGATTTTTTTCCCCCATTGTCTGCGTTATATTTCAGATGTGTTTCACTGTTGTGTCGTCCCCGTCGTCAATTCGAGTTGAGCAGTCGCAGCCCCCACTGGAGTTCTCCAAACGGTGGGTGTACCCGGGCTTTCCACGAATGCCACTTCCCTGACGGTCCCGGGGTTTCGGGTGCAGCTAATGCTCTGAACTCTCGTGATCTGTGGCTGTGGCGCTCGGCCCCCCTCCTGCAGTAAGAAGATTGATACCCGGTAACAGTGAAACGTCGCCCCTCTTGGGTCCTGGACTGACACGTGCAAATGCAAGGCGATCATCCATAATCCGGCCCAGAGCCGTGCCAACTAACAAGAAAGGGGGGGATCGAGAGGAGGTGTTGTTGCCTCTGATCCATATTCAACAGGACACGAAAAATTGCAACTCGTGCGTGACTCGGATCAACACAAACAGGAAAACGATTTGAGGATTTTTTCCCCCCTCTCTCTCTCTCTCTCTCTCTGTCTTCTACCCCCATCCTCGTTTCATTATTTGTCGTGTTTTTTTTTTGCTTTTCGTTTTCACCTCGTGTCTGTATGTATTCATATTATATACATAGATATATATAAAGAATTAGACATTTTTTGCAAACGTTTAAAGAAATCGACGTGGTGTGTGTGTTCTTTTGTATTTGTTTGAAAAATCTGCTTTTCTTTGGTCGCCTTTCTCCAATCTCTGTTTTTCATATTTAATATGCACCACCAACATTTGATTTTTTTTCACAACAATCTTTACAGTCCGTAACATTCGTGGTAAGAGAAAAAAAAATTGTATTCCTGGCTTTTATTGTATGGCTTATGTCGCCCTAAAGTTTCCCGTCTGGATCCAGCCTTCAATCTGACGTGAATAGATTCCCCAAATTAAATGCATGTTATGCAGTTTATAACCAAATAATAAGTTGTCTGCGTTACCAGAATGTACAGCTGCTCACTTTCCACACCATTCAATGAAACACACAATTGCCAGCTTTACTTATATGAAAGTTAGAACTTTTTTTTATTTTTTTTAATTTAAAAAAATCGAAAACGTTTGTTTCCATTTCAAAACACGTTTCCCTTCTGACTTGGAGGCGAGTACATAGAAAACAATAAACTCTTAGAATATACAAAATATACATTCGGTGCATGAAATCTTTCCTTTATAATAAATAAAAGTGAACACATGTGTAGATGATCGCTTTAATGCTCCGTGTCGGGTCGTTTTATTCGGCTGATTCCTTTCGGTTGGGGGGTGGGTGGGGGGGGGAGGCAATTCCTCATCCCCGGAGGTCGAGATAAATAATGCATGAAGTCTTCCTCCTTGTGCTTCCCTTCTCCTCTCTCTCTCTGCCTTTGATAGAGCCCTCAACCTAAATTTACACGCTCGTTTTCATTCATTAAAAAGTCTACAAATTATGCAATGACTTCTAACCTCGCCCTGTAGCAGAACATCTTTTTCCGTAAATCATACCAGACAGCTGCTAAAGTCGGTCTCATTCTTGAGATGACAAGAGAGGCGAGAGAGAGAGAGAGAGAGAGAGAGAGAGAGAGAGGGAGAGAGGGAGAGAGAGAGAGAAAAAAAGAGGAAAAAAAAAACAAGGGAACAAAAGGCATTGTGGAGGGACCTGGGAAAATGGACAAAGTGCAAGGAGGAAAGTTTGGTTTGACAGTTCAAATTCCCACAGCCTTCAAACAGAGTCCCTCCCCGGGAAGACAGGCAGATGCAAAAGTGTGCAGGAGCGGATGCTAACGCGAAAGCAGTGGGGAAAATTACACATTTCTTCCCTAAAAAAAAAACCCATACATGAAATCGCACAGTACCCCCCAAAAAAAATCTCTCCCAACTCCCGTTGTTGTTCGTCTGGCAATGTGCAAACAGTGTCCAACTGTTGCAGAATGCAACGCGGGGGGGTGGGGGTGGGGGGGTGGGGGGTGGGGGTCTCTCTCTCTTATTTTTTTAATAAAAAAATACGATATAAAAGAGCAGAAGCTCACACTCGCGCAGGTGTAGCGCTTTGGTGGTTGGGTTTTTTTTTTGGAGGGATGGGTGGTGGTGGGTGGGGGGGGGGGGGGGGGGGGGGGGGGGGGGTGAGGAGTGTCAGATGAATTCGTGAAACGGGGACGAGCCCCGGAGCAAGTCGGAGAGGCGCTTAGGAGCTGCGTAAATGTTCTCCGATTGCCCGAAATACAGGTCTTCCGATCGGGCAGGACTGGCGGGTGATAAAGTGCATGTGTAGGAGGAGGAGGAGGAGGAGGAAGGGGAAGGGGAAGGGGAACTGGAGCAGCTCCACGAGTTGCCGGATGACCCGGGGCTGGGGTTGGGGCTGCAAACCCCCGAGTCCAGGTACTGCTGCTCGGGCCCCCCGTAGCCCGAGTCCCCGGAGCCGCTGGCGGGGTCGGCGAGTCTCAGCGCCTCGGTCAGAGCCCAGATGTAGTTGTGGGCGAAGCGGAGGGTCTCGATCTTGGTGAGTTTGGCGTCCTCGGGGAAGGCGGGCAGCACCTCCCGGAGCGCGTCCAGGGCGCCGTTCAGGTTGTGCATCCTGTTCCTCTCCCTGTTGTTGGCTTTGATGCGGCGCGTCTTCTTGATCTTCTGGACCAACACTTGGCTCCTGGGTTTGCCCCGACCTCGGGATCGCCGCTTGCATCCCGGCTTGTGGGCTGCCGGGGTATCCGAGATGTTCTCCTCCTCCCGCTCTCCATCCTCCCCCTCTCCCTCCCGTTCCTCCTCCCCCTCCTCCCCCTCCCCCTCCTCCCCCTCCTCCGCCGCCGATGGGATGGACATCTCGCCCGAGCTCATGGTGCAACATACAGGGGGGCAGGTGAAGAACTCGCCGCTGTCCTGCTCTTTGTAATCGCATCTCGCAGACTGGGGAGACATGCTGTTCAACACACACCCACACACACACACACACACACCACACACACACACCCACCACACACACACCACCACACACCACCACACACACACACACACACCCACACACACACCACACACACCACACAACACCACACACACACACAACACCACACACACCACCACACACACACACACCACCACACACACACACACACACCACACACACACCACACACACACCACACACACACACACACCACACACCCACACACCACACACACACACACACCACCACACAAACACCACCACACACACACACACCACACACACACCACCACACAACACCACACCCACACACACACCACACACACACACAACACCACACACACCCACACACACACACACACCACACCACACACACAACACCACACACACACAACACCACACACACACAACACCACACACACAACACACACACATTGGGGGAGGAAAAGACAACAGTTAGTCCAAGGGCAAAAGGATGCAGATCTCTTTAAATAAGATTTTCTCATATACCATATATATACTACAGATGATATCCATATACTATATACACGCACTGTGTACATGATGCACAGGTCTGTACTACACATATGCAATATAATATATAAGGAATAAAGACATTATGGACAAACTTACTTTCAAAACAACTTGGGACGCGGAAGAGTCCCCCCAAACTGCTCAATGTCTGGTTAAATAACTGTCCCGGAGCGGCCGGTCCTCCCTCTGGCCGCTGGAAACACTTTCTCGCTGCTTTTCTGCACCTTAACTGGGTTCCCCTTTCTCTTTATTCTCGGGGTTTGGGGCGCATTTAAGGAGAGAGAGAGAAAGAGAGAGAAAAAAAAAAAGCACCGCTGTTTTCCTGTATGTCAAAATAAAAGAGATGCGATGGGTTATTGAGAGGCGGTGCACACCAGCCTGACTGCCTGTGCCTGGTGCCTGTTGCCTGGCTGCCCTGGTGCCTGTCTGACTGCCCTGGTGCCTGTCTGACTGCCCTGGTGCCTGTCTGGCTGCCCTGGTGCCTGTCTGGCTGACTGGCACGCGACCCGGTGCTGATGGAGAAGCGCTGCCTGTCGTTAAAGTGGGCTGTGTGTCTGGCACACGCCCGCCTGCCCCTCACTGCCACCAAAGGGCTTTATATAGGGCTGTGCAGACACTCAGCGGGGGCCGCAGGCTGGGCGCCGCCGGCCAGTCAGGCAGCGCCTGCCATTGGGGCTCGCGCTCCGGGCCCCGGCACCAGGAACGTGCCGCTCATTACTGCCGCGGGGCCGAGCCGCCAATCACAGGGCGCCGAGCACCGCCTGCCACGCGCGCGGGAGCCGGCCTCCCCTCATCACAGGGTCATTAGAGCGGGGCGGGCGGGCAGGCAGGCAGGCAGGCAGGGTGGGCACTGATAGAGAGAAATCAGAGCCACTCGTGCAGAGAGAGAGAGAGAGAGAGCATTGCATGTTAGAGAGAGAGAGCATTGCATGTTACAGAGAGAGAGAGCATTGCATGTTAGAGAGAGAGAGCATTGCATGTTACAGAGAGAGAGAGCATTGCATGTTAGAGAGAGAGAGCATTGCATGTTAAAGAGAGAGAGAGAGAGAGAGAATTGCATGTTACAGAGAGAGAGAGAGCATTGCATGTTACAGAGAGAGAGAGAGAGCATTGCATGTTACAGAGAGAGAGAGAGCATTGCATGTTACAGAGAGAGAGAGAGCATTGCATGTTACAGAGAGAGAGAGAGCATTGCATGTTAGAGAGAGAGAGAGCATTGCATGTTAGAGAGAGAGAGCATTGCATGTTAGAGAGAGAGCATTGCATGTTAGAGAGAGAGAGAGCATTGCATGTTAGAGAGAGAGAGAGCATTGCATGTTAGAGAGAGAGAGCATTGCATGTTAGAGAGAGCATTGCATGTTAGAGAGAGAGAGCATTGCATGTTAGAGAGAGAGAGAGCATTGCATGTTAGAGAGAGAGAGCATTGCATGTTAGAGAGAGAGAGCATTGAATGTTAGAGAGAGAGAGCATTGCAGGTTAGAGAGAGAGAGAGAGAGAGAGAGGCATGGGGTAGGATGGGCACTGATATATATTAAACTATTATATATATGTTATATGGCCTTTGGGTGTCCTCCCGACGTGATAGGAGCTATATAAATCCAATTTGGTGGTGTTGATACAGAGAGCGCGTATCACCCTTGCATTTGTTATCACGCCTTATCACGTTGGAAGATGTGCCTCAAAGCGCTTGAGAGTAAAGAGCACACGGGCTAATACAGAAAAAGTGATGGAGACAGAGAGAGAGAAAAAGCACAGGCATTGGTATAGATACGGTGACAAGAGAGAAAACAGCATCTCGTGCAGAGGGAAAACAAAAGGCACCAGAGACAAAGTACAGCCACTAATATAGAGAGTGACAGAGAAAGTACAGCCACTAATACAGAGAGTGACAGAGAAAGTACAGCCACTAATACAGAGAGTGACAGAGAGAGAGACAGAGAAAATACAACCACTAATACAGAGTGACAGAGAGAGAGACAGAGAAAGTACAGCCACTAATACAGAGAGTGACAGAGAGAGAGTGACAGAAAGAGACAGAGAAAGGCATAGAAAACAACACAGTGACAGAGAAGATATAGGAAGTATAGGGTCACATAAAGATATAATAACATAAGGGTCGATATAGAGGTAATGAAAGAGAGAAAGCATGGGAAATTATATAGATAGACAGGGAGAGAATAGTGCTTCTAGTGAGAGTGAAAATAAATGGTAGAAAGAGCAAACCCAGGTACTGATATAAAATGATAGAGCTGATATAAAGAGCAAAATAGAGACAAAACACGACTAATAGAAGTACAGAGAAATATAATTCAATTTACATTTATATTCACATTGAGAGGAAGTCTCAGAGCACTTCACACTGCTGGTTGGGCACCCGAGCCAGGGAGTGGGAGTTGAAGAGGGTAGAGTGGGGTAGAATGGGGAGGGTAGAGATAATATGGTCAAATAGGTAAGTTTAGAGGTGGGCTTTGAATGTGGGGGGGGGGGAGGGGGGTGAATTGGAGGAACTCCGGGATGGAGTTTCAGAGAGGAGTGGAGGTTAGAATGGCTGCTCTTTCACCAATGGTGGGGTGGATAGAATGGGGGAACATGAAGCAAGTCAGTGTTCAACAAGTGAAGGGAGCAGCTGATAGGGTTGTAGGAGGTTACAGAAATTGTGTGTGGTGTGGTCGTGGAGGAATTCAAAGGTGAGAGCGAGGATCTTAAATTCAATCGGGATGAGGGGAGAGGATAAATGGGGGCCAAGTGAGAATGGTGACCATAAGCTCACAGAGTCTGGTTTAGGAGAGAATATGGGCTACAGGGTTTTAGATGGTCTGCAGCTTGTGTAGGGACAAGCAGGGGAGTCCCACAAGCAGAGGGTTGTCATAGTCAAGCCTGAACGTGATGAAAGCGTGAATGAAGGCCTCAGCAAAAGAGATGATAGGGATTGTTACAAAGTGTGAGAGGAAAAGAGGGAGACAGGATAGGGACCTGTGCATAAGAGGGAAACCAAAGTGAATAATAAAGCATAAAGAATGATGCAGAGAATACGGAAGCAAAGTGATTAATAGACAGATAGAATATAGGGAGTGAGACACAGAGTAAGAAAACATATAGGAACAAATGCACAGAGTGATAAAAAAACATATAGAAACAGATACAACAACAACAACAAAATTACATTTATAGAGTGCCTTTCACGTCGGGAGGACGTTCCAAGGTGCTGGACAGTCAGGGGTACACAAAGAAAGGAAGCATCAACAATCCCCCAGATAAAATTGGTTATTCACTTCATGGCTGTTTGTGGGACATTCTTGTGTTCAAATCGGGTGCCATGTTCACCAACAAAATACACAGTTACTACATTTTGCAGTATTGCTGTGAAACACATTGAGATGTCCTCCTGACATGAAAGACCCTATATCAAATGCAAGGATACAGAGATAGACTGACAAGTGAAAGCATAGTCTGATAAAGAGAAAGTATGGAGACTGATAGACTTTAGACACTTACAGAGCGAGATAAAACACAAAGAGAGAGGTAGACTAATGCATAGCAGGGAGTCTAACACAAAGTAGAAAAAGAGAGGAAGACTGATGTACAGAAAGAAAGGTGGAAGAGAGAAATTAAAAATATTGTGGGAAAAGATATGGCTACTGTTGCAGAAAATAGAATAAACAAATAGAAAGAAAAAGAAAAAGAAAGAAAAGAAAGAAAGAAAGAAAGAAAGAAAGAAAGAAAAAGGCAGAATAGAGAGTGATTAAAACCAGTGGAAATGTACTCCAGCAGAGTCAGCAAAGTCAGGAGAGGAAGAGAGAAAATTGAGATTGATATAGAAAAGGAATAGAGACAGATACACATAGGGATTCAGGGCGAGGGAGAATAAATTGAAAGAGAAATAGAAACTCAAATACCGAAGGGTGACAAAGATAGATTATAGAAATAAATTGATTTTTATAAATGCCTTATCACATCAAAACATCATATAGTATTTTACAATAATTACTATCAAGTGTAGTAGCCGTTTTTCTAGGCAAAAACTGCAACCAATTTGCTCCCAACAAGGTCCCACAAAGAGCCAAGAGGTGAATGACCAACTTATCTGGAGGATTGTTGCCCAGTCACCAGGAGAAACCGCCTCCTCTTTTCTAATAGTCGAATGGGATCTTTAACAACCACTTGAACAGGCAGAGGGGACTTCCATTTAATGTTTTATCTGAAGAACAATACCTCTGACAATGCAGGGATCAATACCCAGGACAACATTGGAGTGTCAACCTGTATTGTGAG